GCTTGGAGAAATGACCTATTTTGTGCGGCCAGATTCTAAATGGAACAGACTTCATAGTTGAAGAACCATAGGTACACTACTTTTACTGAAACAGCCACCTTAAATAGGTGTAAAATTTATTAATGGCGGTAAGTTCCAACTCGGATTAACATTTAATCCATTCCCTGTTTGGATCACCAGCAAAATGTTTGCTTAGAGTCGTGTTGATTGAATCTGATGTCGACATCAAAGCAGCCGGACATTCTTGATCGGGATTTGATCATAGGGTAATACCGGTTGGAGCATACCACCATAAAAGACACACATTGAAGATAAAAATCTACAACAACTAACAATGTCTAGCGTCTACGAAAATGGATTTATATATACACTCAGGATCTCAGTTCAACTCAACAATGTGCCATGAAGTTGTTTGAATTAATTTGAATTTTAATATAATTCCCTGAGATTCCATGAATTTCCAGGTCGAAAATTGAATTCCCTGATATTTCCTGATTTTCAAGGTTTTCCAAGTAGTTGACACCCTGTGATAAAATGTGACAATATGTAAGCATCGAGATTTCAATTGTTGAATGGATGGGGATCTTTAGAATAATACCTGATACACCTGAAGCTTTGAAAACAGCAATTTCAAGAGGAATTACGACAGCATATCTGAAAGAAGTAATTTGAATCCAATCTGAAGTCTTGAACAGAAGTCATCAGGTTATTGGTTCAAGATTTCAGCTTGATCAGGTATTATTCTGAAGATCTTCATCTGCCCAGCAATTCGAATCATATTTCCCAGTTTTTCTCTCTAATACCAGGTTGCTTAGAATTTATTCCAACGCCAGGTGATCGTACAACTCCTCAGGATATTCGTTCAAGAATTCAGCTTGATCAGGTATCATTCTGAAAACCTTCAACTGCACAACAATTCAAATCAAATCACAACTCTCAGATGTTCTCTTAATATATCATATTGCTCAGAAATTTTTCAAAAGACTTACAGCTGATCAGAGACCTCCAGGATATTTGTTCAAGACTTCAGCTGGATCAGCTATCATTCTGAAGATCTTCAACGGCACAACAACTCAAATCACATCTCCCAGGTATTCTCCAAAGATCTCCAAAATTCCACTGCCCAACAATTCAAATCATATCTACCATGCACTTTTCAAGATACCATGTTGCTCAGAAAATATTTATAGACCTCCAACTAATATTATAAATTAACAATATGGTCCAGTCTTCTATTATCCCCAAGATACAATTTTTCCCGATGCTAGCGCCACTAATGACATGACAGGTGACTAGTACACTGTAAATTGAGCGCTTAGCAGCTCAATTTCAACAAGGCTATCGAAAATTACTCATAGTTGAGTAAAATTTTACTCAGTATTGAGAATTATACAAATAATGCTCATGCTCGTAGTTTGTCATCCAAGTGTATCCGTGGCATAAGAATGCTTGAGAAAGCTAATACCAACCGGTGGAAACTAATGATTTAAAATTGGCTCACTATTTGACTAGCCTATTGGTCCCAAGACATCCATCCACATCCAGCGAACACCATTCTAGTCGAAATTCTAGTATTACACTATGATTCGCTATAAAAGTTTGAATAAAGATAAAAGGAGGGGTTCGTGGATTTCCTATGTTTCGAGGGGTGCATCGATTAGCTTGGGACCGAAGAGAAGTACCAGAGCTGAGCCAAAAAGTTGAGAACGTTTCTTCGGGACCTTCTAGTTCCGAGAGTTACCTCTATGCTTATACCATAGAGGTAACTCTAAGACCAGAAGGTTCCGAAGAAACATGCTCAACTTTTCGGCTCAGCTCTGGTACTCTCTTCAAATCCACGAACCCCTAATTTTATCTGTCAAACTTTCATAGCGAATCGAAACAAACATAGTTTAGGACGAATTTGGAATCAGGAAGCAGTGTTAGATTTTGAACAATATCTTAATAATGTGTGGCTCTTTATCAAACTCAACGGTACTAATGGAAAGGGGAATAAACTTAGAAGTCATCTTTGGTAGAAACATTTCATTTATTGTTAAAACCCGTTCGATAAAGAGAAGTAAAGCGTGGGTTGTGCTTAGTAGAACGGAAATTAGATCAAAAACCCGATACTGTGTAGCCCGTCACTAATACTTTTTTTCCTCATTTGGTTGCGATCTCATACTACTGGAAAAAAAGCATTAGTGACGGACTACACAGTATAGTTTGGAGTTTTTTCACACACAGCTTAGTCACCAAGTGCTGCTAGCGAGCAAATCAACTCCCCGCACAGTTGTTCAAGTGACCAAAATCCTAGTTAATGATGGTGAGCAATCTAAGTTGAGTTCCTAGGCTAAGAATAACTAGCATGCATATAGATTAGAGTGGTTCTAAATATAGATTTTGATTTACCTAGCTCAATCGATTCTCAATCAGGTCCTGATCATTCTTTCAAAATGTGAGCTCATTTTGTTGCGATCTCATACTGCCCTGGCACTTTGAAGTTTATAGAGGAATTACTGTGGGAAAAGTGAACTTTTTGTTCACCTCGATAGCCCTTGCCATACTCTGTATATCTCGAGAAATAGAATGAGACAATGTTTTGGATTGTGGACCATAGAAAACATAACAATTTAAAATTGTGTAGTCAAATCGATCTAGTGAAGAGCCCGAATGATTTGCAATATATTTTTTGCGAGGGGGACGATATTTACGATGCAAGAACAATTTTGTTTTATTGTGGTTAGCTGCGCGCACGCTGAGTAGATAGAATGAAGATTGATGACGATTCTGAAGATTTCCTGCAAAAAGATGATGCGCGATGCAGGTAGATGCGAGAAATGAATGAAGATTTTTTGTAGATTGATTTGCTAGTGTGAGATTTTTCGAGCATCTAGAATTAAGATTTAGATGTGACGCCAATTGTCTCAATGTGGATCCAGGTCGTAAAAGTTATGATTCGAAAGTATTTCTCCGAAAACAAATATAGTCATTGGGAACAGCAGCACAAGGAGAGAGGTTGTTGTGATGGACAGCAGAATCCATCTAATTGAGTAGATCGACCCACCATCTGACATTTCAGTGCTGCAGTATTAAAATCCACCGTTACATCTTTCTGTGGTAATATTTTACTGTAATTGGCTGATTGATTTTAGGCTCCCGGAAATGCTTTCAACAATTTCAAGTGTGTTAAAAGGTACTGTGTTCAGGAACAAACCAGTGGTATCTCAGACATGGAATTTGGTGAGATCTATCTGATTATAAATGATTTATTGCTACCGTATTGAGCCAGCAACGTTTACCAATCCTATCCTGTGGATTTACCTTCCCCACTAACAAGCCCCAAAACTCCGGTAACACTTATGACAGTGCCATATTATCGGTAGAGCGATGGTGGGCTAAAGCTAAGGCCCCCATATTGGAAGGGACTCCCTGGCTCAGAGTCATCAATCATATCCTTCTCATTAGTATGTTTCAAGGAGTTAATCGTTGGCTAGCTTTGTATCGAACACAAAAGCTTTGAAAATTTGAATCAATGCATCATGAAAAGAAAACTAAAAGCTCTCACAGATTACAGAACAACATTAGGACAGTTAGGTCGTTAGCGTGGCCAAAATCTCTTGAGTCATGGGCATGTTTTCTACAGCTTTACGTTCTTCGACAAAGTTGCTCGGTTTACAAAGCACCAACTTTTAAAGGTTTCTGTTTAGTTCTTCTTCTCACATAGAAAGTCGCCAAGTTTTTAGTAAGCCAGAACTGGAAACCGGAAGCAGGTGAGCTGTACAAACTAATTATTAATATATCGACAGGTCCCAAGTAGTATTGCAAGTTTAAAATGAGTGAATAATACATTGAGGGATTCTATAAACTAGACTTAATTGGTTACCGATCATGAGTATTGAATGCGAAATATTGATGAAAATTGATATCAACCCCACAGAAAAAAATCTGAATATTAACTATCGCGTAGAATCTCCCTTCGATTAACTTTGAGCTATACTTGGCATAAACAACGAAATCGTTTACAAGCTTGCAAACAATTTTGCTAATTTATGTGATAATGCGCTTAAAATTAAACAAAATATCGCGTATATTTATGCCAAATCTAGCGTTAATTTTATGTGCGCTATATCTCGCAGAAATTTACATAAATTTTTCGAACGGTGCCAAATTGGCATTTAAAATTAAACGGAAAAGGATTGTCGCAAGTGCCTATTTTTATTTTATGTGTGCTACAATTTGAAAATTGTTATCGCGGGGGCCCCGCAATAAAAAATAGACCAGGTGTCCAAGGGTGGTTAAGACGGCCCTGACTTATGAGAGCTCATAGAGTTCTCTGCATCTCTCTCTAGTAAGTGTTCAACTAGATATGCTTTCCCATTCCCAGCAGTTGCAAGGACGTGGCCAGGACCTTCGTTTAGGAGGCTGAGATCAACCCCCAATTTCGGTCTTTACACAGCAAAAAAAAAAAAGTGGATGCACTACAATCATGTCGAAAATTTCATGTAATTTTTATGACCACATAAATAAACAAATGCAGTAAAAGTAGCGTAATGTCAGTTCATGCATTGTATTAATGATAATTTTGTCCTTTTTAGCAAGTAATATTACACCATATTTTCGACATGATTGTAGTGCATCCACTTTGACGTGAAATCAAAATTATTTTTTTGCTGTGTAGGGTAATGGACGAAGGTGGCACTACTCTCATACAATGGTTTAGGTATTGTACCATCAACGAATTTGTGCAACTAATGCGAATGCGAATGCGAAATCGATCAAGTGAAGAGCCCCCTTTCCAATGTCGGTATTATTTATGAGATTAGAACTACAACTCATGATACACTTTGTCAACAGTCTACTGGAATGAATTGGCTTCTTTTACAGCTCTATCATTTCTTTTCACTTAAAAAAAACCTCCATAATCTAACATTGATTGTGAACCTCCCTTTCATTGCTAACGATAGACAGTCGTCGAATGATGATGATGATGATAGCAACATTGATGAATGATAACTTACATTGATTATTATCCGTCTCGCTTCGGTTCCAACAGCAGCGTCCAATGCTCAAGAGCATCGTAAGGGTCCACTTTTTGGGTTCATCGTTATCGCTGTCTCTCGATGCAACCGAACTGAACCAGCAGCCAATCCAAATGTGCGAATACGAGCACGGAATCACAAGGCTTTCAATCTATGCTTTATTTGTACGACGACGAGCGGCAGCAGCAGCGGTGGCACAAGTAGTATTTGAAGCTAGGAAGAACCGAGCTTACAGCTCTAGCACATACAACACCCCACAAACACGTGGAAATATGGATCCGACACGAGACAGACGGGCAGGAAATGGGAAAAACTCGAGCAAAGGAGCCTGTGTAAGAAGGACTGTGTGTAATAGAAAGAAGATCCTTCCACCCACACACACACACTCACACACTTGATTGAAGCACCTCGCCGTCGTTGGTTGGATTGCACATTGGTGTGTACGGTCTGTGTGCCAACGTGTGACGAGAAGCCACTGAGAGCGCAGGGGAGTCGAGATTTTCCAAGCGCTCGTTTTTTTTTTCTTCTTTCAATCCGCCCAGACTTATTTGTCGGGATTCCTTTGCTCGGATCCTTTTGCTTCTAATTTCCTTGATTATATGAACTTTCAACCTGGGCAGAAATTCGCTCTTATCTTTACACTCGATTTTGTTTCACTATTCTTTCAACACTTTCTCGTTAATTAAGTTGAAGATTGCTACCCTATCGCATCCCCATATCGCTCCGTTGTATACACATTTTCCTTTCAGTAGACACACACGAACACATACACGGTTTACATTCTCAAGTATCAAACGGCCGGGAAAAGCATTCGAAAATATCCACCCAACCCTGTGCCGTCAGAAATAGTATCAATTTACATTTCTCGCACACTTTCCATTGCACGCAGATTTCGAAGCTCTTACCGCCATCCAACAGGCGCTCCAGCACTTCCCCTGAACGCAGGTTTAGTTTTTCCACCTCATTTCGCGCGAATCGTGTAAAACCAAAACTACTGAGTTAATCCACTCGAAGATGAACCCGAACTAATCCACTCGTCTGCTTGATTTCGTCTCAACCTAGTACTGGTAGAACTCTTCTATTCCGGACCGACACCCCAATGTCTTGTGCTACCCAAAAGAAAAAAAGAAAGCAAATTTGATCACCGTCGTGTGCGTTGCTGCGGATGCGGGCAACTCGCGCTGGCTTGTCTCTCGGAAGCGACCGTGGGACTGAAACTTTCCGTGAAATCACCTCGGAAAAATGTACCATAAGGACCTGCTGCCACTTGATGAGCCCCAGCGCCGCTGATTTGCTGGGAGAGTTTGTGAGCCTTCCGCTCTTTTTCGGAGTGGGGAGCGTGTCCGGTGCCGTCACGTCAGTTGTCGTCGTCGGGGATATGGTGGCATGGCAATAAGGTGTTGCTCCCAGTTCGGTAGGGAGATTGGTTTCTCTATCCTCTCCGAGTGGGGTTTCTATCTAACGCTCTTGGATGAGACAGGAGAGCTTTACGGGTAGGTATAGATTTGCAATTTGCCCCTCTCGTTTGTTATCAGAATCTATCAAAACAAAGGTCCTTACAATACAACCGTGATGCTGGTTTTACGGTAGTTTTGCAACCGTTTTTTTGTTTGAAAGTAAAATCTAAATTAATTTATTTAATTAAAATATTTCTTTATTAAAATTGATAAACGTAAAAAAATGCACTAAAATTATAAACAAAAACTTGAATGTATCCACCTATGGTGAGATCTGACCCATGTTACGAATTACATTTCGGAAAAAAAAAATTGCTCAAGCCTGCATTCAGGAAAGAAAAGGAACATTGTATGTGTCCAATGTGATCGTGGGCACTTGATGTAACCAGCATTGCACTTGTTTTTGAATTCTCATATGATTTTAGGTGTCGCATGATGGGTTTTGGACCAAGTCAGAAACTTGCCACTTCCCTTGGTCCGGAACATCCGGATGTGGCTCAAAATAACTAAGATTGATCTTTTTTTTTTAATTCTCATGTAATTTAAGCTGCCACATGATGGGTTTAACACAGTTGAGCTCGATTATAGAATCAAGACCCGTATTCACCGTAACATCATAGAGGTAAAACTAAGACCAGAAGGTCCCGAAGAAACGAGTTCAACTTTTTGGCTCAGCTCTGGTACTGTCTTCGGTCCCAAGCTAATCGATTCACCCCTCGAAACATAGGAAACTAACCCCTCATTTTATCTGTCAAACTTTCATAGCGAATCAAAACAAACATAGTGTAGTACTAGAATTTCGACTAGAATGGGGTACGTTGATCGATTTGCTTGGGACCAATAGGCTAGTCAAGTAGTGAGCCAATTTAAAATCGTTAGTTTCGAATTGCTTGTTGGTAACATGTTAATGCCATATTTCCGGAACCAGTTGATCGATTCAAAAAATATAAAAATATAATTATATATGGGACCACACCAGGGTTGCTGATCTTTGCAACGAATCGTGTTTCGTCTTTTCTACTGCTCACCAACGCTATTATCATAGAGGTAACTCTAAGACTAGTAGGTCCCGAAGAAACGTGCTCATCTTTTTGGCCCAGCTCTGGTACTATCTTCGGTCCCAAGCTAATAGATGCACCCCTCGAAACATAGGAGAATCCACAAACCCCTCATTTTATCTGTCAAACTTTCATAGCGAATCAAAACAAGCATAGTGTAGTACTAGAATTTCGACTAGAATGTGGTATTTACGTTAATCGTTTGCTTGGGACCAAAAGGCTAGTCAAGTAGTAAGCCAATTTTAAATCGTTAGTTTCCAGCGGTTGGTATTATTCTGCTGCAGTAAAAGCTTTTCTCTTCGTGCACTAATACTTGTGAGCATAGAATGGTCCGTTCCCTTTCTGTTTTCCACTTCTCCTACTGTTATCTGTCATTCGCTGAGTTACCACCTTTCGCAATCTAGCAAGCGTCACTCACCAACTGTTTATTACTGCACGAAAATTGATTCGACGAATTTGACAGCAACTTGCTTCGCAGCCGAATAATATTCGCAGTGAATGCTTCTGAATGAAGCGTGAGCATATGGAACTGCACAGATAAGAAAATAACAGGCAGCAACAGCTTGTTTAGGTAGGGGTTCCTGGGGTAAAATGCACCAGTTAAGGAACTCAAGGTGTTTTCCCCTTAAAATTAAAAGACAACAGTGAATATCATGTATTGCATAAATTTTCTTCAGCATTATTTAGTTTTTTATATTCGAAACATACATGAAAACTTTGAAAACATATCTTTATAAGTGATTTTAAGACATGATAAAATAATCTGGAAATGCCACTAATCGGGGAAAAATGCACTGCAACAAAGAGGCAAGACACCCCATAATAATGAGGCAAAATGCACCCTAACAATGGGACAAAATGCACTACAATAATGGGGCAATATGACTCTCGTTATCATGCCCAATTGATGCAGAAGAACGTCTTCGTTTTTGACAGCCCCCAGTTCCGATCGTAGTTGTTCAAAGGTCCATGTCCGCTTAGTAGACTTCGGAACGTTGCGCACAATTTCTGAACAAAGAATTGAACGTCAACAAGCTTGTTTACTAAAGGATAATTTTACCCCGAACTTAGGAGTGCATTTTGCACCAAATGATCATAAAGTAGAAATACATATTGAAACTTATAAAATAGAAATACATATTAAAACTTGGAAAATGGTTTTCAGAAAATTTAAACAATAAATCAATCTTGTAAAAATTGCTAGAGATATCAATTTTAGTTCTTTAATTTTGCACGGAAGAGTTTTTTTTCGATTGAGCGCTGCGTTATTTTGTAAAAAATCTATGAAGTGAGTCATTTTAATCTGATCCAATTTCACCTTAATTACTGTGGAAGTGCATCTAGAACACTACATTGAGAGCCGGTTAAACGCCCGCTACGGAAGCGCGAAAAGCCTAGAAGAAGATAAAACCATCTACAAATGCATTATAATCCTATTTCTAAACATTGTCTTAGATATATTAAAATCAAAGAGGACAAATACTTCATTAAAACGACGACAACAAACATCAAACGGATGGTTCTGGCGGAGAAAATCTGCACGCCGGATCGTTATGGCCGGAATGTTTACATTTATATTGCTCAGCAGTACTGAGCAGTCTACGTTGCTCTTCAGGATGTCGAATATAAAAAGCTGCTGCAACAGGATCCTCCTACTAGCCAAGGTCGGTAGATGTATCAAGGCCTAGCGATGCTCGTAGGGTGGTAATCGAACCGGATCATTCCACAGAAGTAAACGAAGTGCAAATCGAAGAAAGTTCCTTTGAATACGCTCGATCCGGTTAATCTGAACGACATGGTATGGCGCCCACACCAGCACTCCATATTCAAGTATGCTGCGTACTAGCGCGGAGTAGAGACTTTTCAAGCAATGAATGTCTTCAAACTGCTGCGAGTTTCGTTTGATGAATCCAAGCACTACGTACGCCTTGGCGGTCGTTGCAGCTATGTGTTGGGTAAACCTCAGCTTACTGTCAAGTAGTGCTAGCCCAGATCTTTAACAGTGCTTACTCTGTCGATACTAGTTGTCAACATTCTATAATCGAAAATGGTCGCCATCCTTGATCGATAGAAAGAAATTACATTACATTTTCGGGCATTTACATCCATTCCGTTTAGCCTGCACCAGTGTAGTAACGCGTCGATGTCAGCTTGTATGGCACAGCAATCAACTAACGATGAAACTACCCGAAAGAACTTCAAATCATCGGCAAACATTACCTTCGGAGATTTAATCGTTTCGCAAAGACATACTTAGACATAGTTATAACAACCGGTGAACGCTCGTGTTTATTTCTGTAACCGTGGGGACGTAATTTGTGATTAGCCCCGGTCCTTTTCAACTTGTATCATTATTTATGTACGGTCCTTATATTTGAAATGACGTTTCACATTCATCTAGTGATGGCCGATTTTCATTCGAATAATCGATTAATCGATTAACGAACCGAAAGGTAAAATATTTGTAATCGTTTGTATCATGCCTATATTTAATCTAATCTAATCTAATCTAACACCAACACAGCCAGTTCTTGAAAGCATCCTCGAAAATGATAAATATACCTTCATCATTTTCTTTTATCTATTTGATATATGTTTCACATCGAAGATCCGTCACACATATCAAAACGGCCAGGCCTACTGTGCAGCATTTAAGGGGCAAGATGATTCCGAAAACATCGGGCCTGTTTAAATCAAAGAATTAAACACGATGCTTCAGAAACCAATAAATGGATGAAACGTGGACATCTCGTACCGTACGTTCCGATTTGGGAATTATATGATTGGTTGGTCGTTGGAAGCATCAAAGCTAGAAAGGTTAAGTGATGCTCCATTTTCTTCTGACGGTTGGGGCCTAGTTTTTATGACTTCTGGTTATAGCGCCATTACTCGCTTTCTGAAAATTTGAAAAGGGAAAGGAAAAGAAGAAGGACAAAGGGAAAAGGATTATGTAAAATCTATGAACATAAACAATATTTTTGATTTAAAATATACAATATAGAAATGCATAACGGCGTGGTGGTCACTACCCGAGTCTTGTCACTATTATCATAAAAAAGTAACAAGGACTAAAATGTGATCCTTTCATTACTGGAAAATCCTGATTCCCTAGTTTGAAGTTGTCACGACTAGGTTTCGGTGGTAGATCTTATACCAGTAACGCACCACAAAAAGGTGATCTCCCAACTTTACTGGTTTGAAAAGATAATAATTTACAAAATTGAACGAACTCACCAAGTTAAGCCAATTAATCATTTTGTTCGACCATTTTCCACAGATATGGCGCTGTCCCGCTGGTAGGAAGTGATAAAAACCCCATATAGAAATTGAGAGAAGTAGGAATAATTCGCTTTCGGTGCATATTCAGGTCAAAAAAAGTGAAAGACAACCTAAAGAAATTAATCAGGGACTTTGTCGTTCAGTTTTTCCCCGGAAATTATTGTTAAACAAGCTACAATTAAATAAAAACGATTTTTCCCCATACAGTTTTACCTGCTTTACTACCAGTCCCCAGAGAGCCAAAAAATCAAATTTGAGAGAGAAAATTTGCTCTCAACATGCCATGTATTTTGTTGACACTCGATTTGTGATTTCCCTTTCACAGACTACAAAATAGAGTACCTGACACTACAAAACATGTCTGGTACCTCTATATATGCATTTACTTTAAC